TTGCTAGAGGCAGCGGCACCGGCTACAACATCTCCAGAGGTGGCGGCTTATGCTGCAGAACCTCCCGAGGTAGCGGTGTCCACTGCTGTGCTCCCAGAGGCCATGGTGTCCACTGTAGTTTCTTCGTCACAGCTGATCTTCCAGAGTCTTGTCACATCACAGCTGATCATCCAGAGTCTTGTCACGTCCTGTCTGCTGCACCCAGATCTTCAAGGTCAGTCCTTCAGTATCCAAGTCTGGTATCCAGTGTGAGGGATGCACCGCTGGTATCTGCACGCGTAGCTGGTATCCCCAAACCCACTCACTCTAACCCTTCTGTTCCTGAACTAATTCCCCTGTCTGAAGTGCTTCCTATGATGGGAATTGCTTTTTGGTGTGTTTGGGCTGCATACACTACCACAGAACTTCCAGAGATGGCGGTGCTAACTCCAGGTCCTCCAGAGAGGGACGTTTCTGAACTCTTAGTCTGTCCTGTTCCGACCAAGGAGGTCGTTTCTGAATTCTCTGACATTCCAGCCACGGTCAAAAAGGCTGCCCCTGAACTCTCTGCTCACCCTGTTATGGCTAAAGATGCCATTCCTGAACTGTCTGCCAGTCTTGTTACGGCCACTGAGGCCATTGTTAACCTCTCTGTGCTCTATGTTCCAGTTCTGCCTGATCCACCTTGGTGGTCTCCTGCACCATCAGCTCCGCTGAAGTGATCTTCTGCTCTGACCGTGGTGGTCTTTGGCTCTACCCTGGCACCCTGCTCCACTGGCTTCGCCCTGGCACCCGGTTCCACCTTGGCTCACTGCAGCCATGGTGGTCCTTAGCTCTGCTCTGGTGGTCTTCAGCTCTGCCCTGGCTCCCTGCTCTGTCGGCTATGCCCTGGCTCACTGCAATGCCCTGGCACTCTGCTCTGCCCTGGCTCTCTGTTTCACTGGTTCTGACTTGGCTTACTGCTCCGCCCTGGCTCCCTGCTCCGCCGGCTTCGCCCTGGCTCTCCGCTCCGATGGCTCCGCCTTGGCCCTCTGCTCCGCCTTGGCCCTCTGCTCCGCCAGTTCCACCTTGGCTCTCCGCTCCGCCAGCTCTGTCTCAGTCCCCTGTTCCTCTCCTTCCTCATGGACATGGCCCTCCATCCCTCCCCCTGTTCCGCCTCCGCTCCAGCTCCCTCCTGGACTCTGGTCTGTTCATGTTAAGGAGCGTCTGGAAGCCACTCCTTAGGGGGGGGACTCTGTCATGATCTCCAGCTGGAGTGCCCATGAACTCCACCAGAGGGAACTCCACCTCTGACTCTTGCCACTCTCACAGACTACATTTCCCATAATCCTTTGTCGAACTCATCATCACTTATTGCATTCACCTGTGTCTTGTTACCTCCATCAGTCTTACCCTATTTATAGCCTGGTTTTTCACTCATTCATTGCTCAGTATTGTTAGCCTGTAGCGTGTCCTAGTTCCCGTGTTTCCTGTGTTCTTAGTTCCTCCCTGGCTCTCTGCTCCGATGGCTCCGCCTTGGCCCTCTGCTCCGCCAGTTCCACCTTGGCTCTCCGCTCCGCCAGCTCTGTCTCAGTCCCCTGTTCCTCTCCTTCCTCATGGACATGGCCCTCCATCCCTCCCCCTGTTCCGCCTCCGCTCCAGCTCCCTCCTGGACTCTGGTCTGTTCATGTTAAGGAGCGTCTGGAAGCCACTCCTTAGGGGGGGCGCTCTGTCATGATCTCCAGCTGGAGTGCCCATGAGCTCCTCTAGAGGGCACTCCATTCTGTACCTTGCTATTCACTCAGGACTCCATTTCCCATTATCCTTTGCCCGGGCTCATCAAGTGCATCACCTGTCTCTCATCAGATCTCATCATCAGTTCACAGCTGTCTCACATTAGTAGGACTATGAGAATAGCACACACACTCTCTGTCATCGCTGGTGATTGAATGTTGTATAGCTCTTCCGTGGTTTCTAAGTTTCTGTGTTTCTAGTTTCTCTGTTTCCTTGCCTTCGTGTTTTGATCCCTGGACTGTTTTCTTGTTTATGACTGTTTTGCTGCCTGCCCTGACCATTGCCTGATTATCTGGATTACTCTGTTGCCTTGCCACTGCCATCGTTGTTTGCTGTTGTTGACCATGCCTGTTTGACTACGCTCTTATTAAAGCCTTGCATTTAGATCCCCACTTTGTCGTCACGCCTCCCTCGTTACAATAACAGATGACACAATTTAATTTTGTGGTGCCTCTAATTAAGTGATAAAATGCAGTTGCATGTTGTACAAAATAATTATCACCACTACTCATTTGCACCAATAAAACGTTCAACTCTTTGTTTTACTACCAAATTATATTAAATATCTAACTATTATTAAAATGTAACATACATTGGCAAGGTTTCCGTGACCTCTTGCGAGATCTCGGCAAAAAGACTCACGATTTATTTCCACAACATGATGCATGATGGGATACACTAAGCCCGCTCTGGAGAGGTTTTCGAGATTTTTGATTTTTTTTGAGAGTGTGGATTTAGTGTGTACTTTGGCGTTAATAAGACCTGGGACAATCTTGCATAATTACTTCCTGTCGCGCCACCACGCTCTCAAGTTGCCAAGACCGCAAGTGTTGGTATTTGGACAAGGGGATTGATGCTAGTATTTAAAGGTGCACTAAGCAATATTTGAAAATTTTGCTGCCTATCAGCAGTAAGGGGCGTGTCTAGTGATGATCGGGAGAAGAGAGCGCTCAGTGAGTGCACAGGATGGATATTAGCAGATCGACTTTAGATAGCGAGAGATGGCAGATAAAAAAAAAGAGGAAAATTTCGGGAGGAACAAAACATTAAATAGAAGGGTTACGGTCAGGCAAGAGGTAGGACCCGTGTAAATATTGGAGTGTTGAACGTCATCTTCCACGTGAAACAAAGCTAAACCATTCAGCACACATTACTACCAAACACATTCGACCTGAATTACAATAGTAACACACATCACTTTCACTTATTGATGACATCATACCCTCGGCCAGCAGACAAAGCAGATTCTGCCATCGTCGCTGCCAGGGTTGTGTGCGTACATGTGGGGTGGAGTTATCAAAATAAAGGCGAGGTCCTGTTGGGGTATGGGAGTGTTTGTTTTGGTGCTTTCAAATATCAACATTGTTTGGCAAAATCCGCTTAGTGCACCTTTAATATAACGTAAACTGCATTGCTGAGATATAGTTGTGTTTCAGTTGCCTTACACAAATTATATTATTCTGTGATTTTATATCAGTACCAATGGTGTATTCAAACTTTATTTAAGCAACAATGTCCTAGTTTTGAATTAAAGAGTTTGGTATGTAAGCTATGTTTATTTATTTATTTATTAGTTTGATTCGTTTTGGAAATAAAAATCTAGTAGTCACAATTTTGTTTGTCCTTTATTAAAAAATGGGGTCCAGAAACTATAACTGTTGTCTTTATTTTTTCCACTTATAGTCTTATATAGTTCTGTCAATTATTCATTCTTGAATCAAATATAAATTTTCGCTCTCATTGTGTGTGCTATACGTGACATAGTATAAGAGTTATACTAAAATATGTGGACACACACACACACACACACACACACACATATATATATATATATATATATATATATATATAAAAATAAGAAAAATAATCCTGTGTCAGTCTGGGTTCCGTTAGCCGATAATAGTTTTTTATTTTTTATTTTTTTACTGTTAATCCCATGTCCAACAAATACACACATGATCAGGGACAAGGTTATATTAGCATAGAGATGACAATTTCATTTTTTTGTGTGTGTTATATGCAAGTGAAATCTCTAGAGATAGATCGACGTTCTAATAAAGACATTTGCCGTTATTCATTCCTTTACGATCTCTCACTCTCTCTTTTTTCCTTATATATAATATTATATAATATTTTTAAACTGATATTGTATTGAGTGTTTTTTTATCAGATGATAGTGTGAAAAGCCCTGACTAAGGCGTTATTAGCGAGGTAAACCCTTAATAGCATTTTAGTGTTTTTTTTTTTTCTATTATTACTGAAAATGTTTGTAATAGCTATATTACAATAATATAAAATCTAAATAAACAAAATGGATTGGCATTAATCTAATATCCCCAGTTAAATTGAAATAAACATGATGCATAGGCTACAAAGAGTCAAAAAGACTTAACACTGTCAGAATGATGTATATTTTAATAATTAGCTATTTACAGTGCAACATCTGCATATCATGTTACAGTGATTGTTGTATCCTTACAATAATGGATGCAGCACTTATGTGCAGGCCTGTCGCAATAATCAATATATCGACTTATCGCACAATATATGTACATAACCTCAATAATTTTTGGTGACGCAATATATCGCCCATTATCTTTACTTAAAAATTAATGTCACCATGTTTTGTACATTCCACTTGCGCCTGTGTCTTTTGCAGCTTCTCGAACATAACGCGGTGTAGTCATGAGGTGCTAGTTCAATTTTTAAAAAATGCTTCTACAAAAAAGTGTCATCCCTATTGTTCAGGGATCTGTGCCAGTGGCATAAAATGGTCTTTAAAATTACAATATCGCTTATCGCAATTATTTCTGGGGCAATATATCGCACAACAAAATGTTGTTATCGCGACAGGCCTACTTATGTGGGCATCCTGGAGATAATATATGAAATGCAGACTATTCAGTATTTAAAATAAATAAATAAATAAATACCAAGCTTCAAGTTGCCAGTAGGGAGAAAAACATTGTGGAAGAATTTAGACATTAACGTTTTTACATTGAAATGTAATGTAGGTCATCGCGCATTGTAATGTAGGTCAAAAACCCTTGCTACGTGTACTGTGTTAGGCTAACCGACTTATCACAGCACTTATATATTGTTGCCTTTTGTTGGTCTGATTGCTTCTATTGTCCTCATTTGTAAGTCACTTTGGATAAGAGCGTCTGCTAAATGATTAATTGTAAATGAAAATGTACATTTATTCGAAACCTACTTAAAGCACATGTGTGTAAAACATCCACTACGTAATGGATCTGATCCAGTACGTCATCGCGCTACGGGCTGCAGTGAGCACCTCTTGTCAAAGCCCGCGCTGACGCACCAGAGTTATTGGGAGATGAGAGGGTCTGTATTACTTACCATTGGGAAAAGTGTAATGGCTATCTTGGATCACGTGAGGCACCTCAGCTAATCATACAATGGCAGTGACTTCAGTGGCAGCTTCACAGTTTTACAGTCACATAATAGTCATTACAATTCAAGTTTAATTTCAGGTAAAACCTGAAAACCAAAGAAACAAAACATCGATATTTTTAGACAATACACAATATTACATATATTTTGTTAAATAGTAATGCAATACATATTTGCTGGTAATAATGCCGTAAATGAGTCCTACTTGTCACGACATTCCCTGCATACTGCCAAAGAGGCAGCGTTAGCATTAGCCGTTATGCTTTTTTAGTTAAAGGTGGCAGGCTTGCCTTTGTGTGTGTTTAACTGTGTTTGAATGAGAAATGAGACTAATTAATGATATATTGTTACTAAAATAGTCATTTCCCTGCATATTTTGGTCTATTACGTATTTATATATTTTTATATTCACTATGAAATGGGTAGGTTTAGGTTTGGGGGTAGGTTAAGGGGTCTAAAAATCTAAATAATTTATCAATAAAATGATTTTAAAAATGCATTGATACAAATATCTTAATGATATAAAAAATGTATAAATATTTTACGTTGTTTACCTGTAAATACGTAGTAAATTTTATATTATATTATACGTTTTAATACATCCAAATTATAAATTTAATCATCAATCAAAACATTTGGGGCTTGTGAACATTATGTACTAATATCTATGTATAAACAATGAGACCAGGCTGGCTGGTCAAACATCTCAGTGATTGACTAAAACAATATAAGAGAAAAACAACAGTCTGACATTTTGGCAACCCTGTGAATGATAGATTACTGACCTTAGCAGAGCCGTGATCAATACTGTAAAAACCAACTGAAAGAACTAAGTGTTGTGTTTCAGACTCACCCGCATCTGATAACCCCTGCATCTGATAATGCAGCCAGGCATGCTTTTGCCACTGTTACCTGAATTCCTCCTTGTGCTCCGAGAGCCACTGATCACACTTTAATTAATCTGCCAGTATAGACACACACACACACACACACACACACACACACACACACACACACACACACAGATACAAACAGAAGGCAAGGCCACTGAGGGCGGACTCCTCCTTTGAAATCATGTGGCAGGACCGAATGCGCAGCTGCCCCAGCAGTCCATTGGGCTGTAACTCTTCATTCTGTGGCGCCGCAGTCCTGTCACTCAACACTTCATAAAAGCCTGATCGGGTCCACAGCACATCATCTGCCATTCTCTAGATTAGACCCTTTTCGCTGGGATTTCATCAAGATAATGCACGTTTTGTGTGCGTGCCATGACACGCTAATTGCAAGCCATTAGTGAAAGCATTTGGCAGGCTTCGGAAGAAGGTATCTTATGCATACAAGCTTAGATTTCTGTAATAGTGAGTTCATTGTCACCCAGCTCTATTCAACATAAATGGGGCTTTCTGTTACCAACAATTGTTTCTTCCTGTATGTGTTTTTCAATGAAAGGACGATAGATTACTCCTTTGTGAATAATAATGGACATGATGTCAGATTTCTATTTTTTAAACCATTTTTTGTCTCACTGTGAAGTGTATAAAATCAAATATATTAGAATGACTTCTGAAGGATCACGTGACACTGAAGACTGGAGTAATGTCTGCTGAAAATTTAGCTGTGCCATCACAAGAATAACTTACTTTTGAAAATATATTCAATTAGAAAACAGTTCTTTTAAATTGTAATAACATTTGTCAATATTAATGCACTTTTTGCACTTTTAATCACATAAATGTAGCCTTGTTGAACATTGGAGACTTCATTCAAAAGCATTAAAATAGCTTAATTCCTGACTTTTGACCGGTAAAATGTAAATTATAAAGGTTTTAATATTTTTGAAAGAAGTATTTTGTGAATTATCATCCCAGTTTAAAACTCTTTTCTACTTTTTGTTTTATATATATTGGTGTTCAAAAGACATTTCTTAATTTCGTATTAATATTGAAAGCAGTTGTGCTACTTAATATTTTTCTTCACTTAATACATTTAATACATGTGCTACTTAATACATTTTTCTTCAGGATTATTTGATGAATGGAAAGATTAAAGGAGAAACATTCATTTGAATATATACACCCTTCCTGATTTCTTATTTTTTTGCATGTTTGTCACACTTTAATGTTTTAGATCATCAAACAAATTTAAATATTAGTAAAAGATAACACAAGTGAACACAACATGCAGTGAGAAACATGCAAAAAAATAAGAAATCAGGAAGGGGGCCAACACTTTTTCACACCACTGTATATATGTGTATGTATAATGTGTGTGTGTGTGTGTGTGTGTCACTTTTGATCAATGTAATGTACTCATTACTCATGTTAAATAAAATTAATTTATTTTAAAATAAATAACTGACCACAAAATTTTGAATGGTAGTATGCTTCTATGTGCTTATTTTCATTCATGGATTATTAAACATCTGTAGCCCCGACTTTTTATATGCTTGGCTGAACTCTCAAATGGGCGGGACTATACTACTCCGAGAGATATTACTCACAAATATAGTTAGTTGAAGTCTGAACATTTTGTTTTGTATTTCTCATCATGTATTTTGTGTTTCAGCACTTTTGTAGTAGTTTGTGATGCAGAGTTTGGGAGCACAGCTGTGATTCCTCACTCCAACTTCGGTACTGGCAGAAACATTAAATTTCTTTCATATAAGAATTCCACTTTATGTCTAACTTCCCTTAAGCACAACCCAATGCCCATTTCACAGTAATAAAAAGAGCTCCTGCCCTGTTTGTCTCACTAAAATATAGTCATTAAACTGAGGGGTTTTCCTCGCAGGACAAAATGAAATAAAATGACTTCTATAGTAAATGCCGCTTACATTGTGTTACATCAGTCATGCATTCACTGAGATTTGATTGCTTGCATTCACTGTAATCATGACTTGGCAAAAAATGGCATGTTTTACCTCTATAATGAGTTTTGTAGCAATTTGTGGACCATTTTCCAGCCACATGCATTGCATTCGAAACACTGCAGTGCCTTGCACTAAATGAAATCATTTCCCTGCATTAACCATCTTAGATTTGTGCTTAACCACACAGAGAGCTCATCGATTGAATAAAGTGTGCAGCACAGGGCCTGATCACATATGTTGGAGATCATTCATCACCGTAGCATGTGCGGAACGGCCGGGCTCTGCTCCCACACTGGAGGCCATGATGTGATTTCAGACGCTCCCTTCCTGTATTAGTGATGCTGTCTGCACAAGCACATGGTTTATCACTTCAGCTGGCAATCAATTAGTTCCCAATCAATAACCTCTTGCTGGCCAACAGGCAACAAATTAGCGGCCTCTCTCCGCTCGCACTACACTTGTTTATCCCGGGAACTTGTTTTTCATCAGGGGCTTTACTGATAAGATGCTCGTTAAATATCGCATGCGATTTATCGTGCAGCCCTAATCAGGAATCTAACCCGCTCTGCTGGCAGCTTAAGCTCAAAGTTTTGCCACGTGTATCCAGGTGATTAAATAAACAAATATTTTATGAGAAAACATTTCAGCTCTTTCAGTACTAGACAAATGGATGTTTCCGTGATTAAAAAAAGGGTCACTTAGAGGGATGAATAACGGGCACGAAAACAAAGCAAACACTAAAAGCTGTTAATTACTGGGTTTCATTTAAAAAGCAGTGATGTCTGTGTCTGTCATTTGAAGTTAATAAATAGTTGCTGTAAAACAGGAAAAACTTTTACATTGAGCTTTGTAGTATCAGGATTACATTTCAAAAGGTCTTTTTATAATTTAAATGCCACTGAAAACACTTTCAAATTATTTCAATATTGCTGTTTCAATTGAAATGAATGCATTTGGCAAAAAAGAAGCTCAACCTGGTTTATTTGTCCTCTCATTTTAAAAGGCTCCAGTGCGCCACCATCTGTATGGCAACAGCAGAACTTTCACGTTATGCACTGTGACACCCATCTTGTTTTTTGTTTTTTTAAATAATCTTAGTCTTATTCATCCATTTTGTCTTTTCTTTTTATAAATGTATCAGCGGTTCCAATTCCACTTCTCTGCGAATGTAATTTCCAAAGGTCACCTTCTCTGAGAATAAATTATCTCCACAATGCAAGGTCATTCTCCATCTCTAGAGTATTCAGAACGAGATAACGGTTTTGTTCGCAGATTTGCCGGCCCCTCTCTCTCCCCTACATTCTCGCTGTCGTTTTATCTTTGTACTGTGAGAAATTTTAGTTTGATGGCATATTTTGTCAAATACAAATAGTCATTTTGCAGCTGTGAATTGCTGAATTATGTCAGGTACCTCTTACTGTATACAGTGATTTTTCCAATCATTCCCACACACAGCCTCTAACTAAAATAACAGTGTACAGTGAACAGTGAGAAGCATTCAGGAAAGCATCTGGCCATTCTGGGTGTTTTTTCAACTATGGACAGCTTTGGCCCCTGTGAATTTCATACAATTCTTATAAAACACATTTTGACACTTGCACTATTTCATTTATCAACTAATAATGACCAGCAATGTACATACATCAAGAGTAATTTCCCCTCCTAGAAAGTGTTTTATTTATTTATTTGTTCAATTATTATTATTATTATTATTATTATTATTATTATTTAGGCCATCTCCATCTGTTAAGGCTAACCTCTTAGCTAACATTACACAAAACATTTCACTGCTAAACAAGTGATATTTAACTTAATTTGTATGCTTTTTACTTCCGATTCCTATCCAATATCCCATTCTCGTATATATATATATATATATATATATATATTCTACATATTTTCTTGGTGGCCAAATACAATAACTTTTAATAAAACTTTACTAGTGGCAAAACAACCTAACTGACAAAATTTATTAAATTTGATACTGATGTCTAACTACTGAAATAGTTATATATAACCATTTGTTTGTTTGTTTGTGGCCCAAATAATTTATGAATGGGAAATAAATGGCTGCTTTGTTTAATAGCTCCATTTGCAATTATTGTTTGTGAAAATATACAACAAATTAAACTAATTCAACCCCCAGGACAAATGGCTGTAGTAAAAGAAACACTGTTTAAGCCACTGATCTGATCGTATCTTCCTTCCCAAATTGTTGTGCACCTTTCCTTTGGCTGCCTCAGACTATGTGCGGGTGGTATGTGATTACATGTGGAAGTTCTCAGTCACTGGATCACAGCGATCACAATGGCATGGTAAAAGCCTGCTCATTTGCTAATGGCCTTTAGCAGGCAATGCTGTTTGTTTCACATCAGCTGAGTGGACGAGCAGCTTCATTTGCTGTGGCTGTCTGCCACTGCAACTCTCTCTGTCTCTCACTACCCACAGGTCTATTCAAGCTCAAATATATAAACAATGATTTTGCCATCTCGTTATCATTGCAGACAGAAATTAAATATTGATTCTCCTCACGGGGCAAAGTAATTGCTGTGCAGAAATTACCTATTCTCCCTCTTTCTCGCCACTCCCAAGCTGTTTCTGCTGTCACATTTTACCTCAGGAATTTGTGGCTAATTTGGACTTTAATGGCTTTTGCTGCCTATGAAGATGAAGGAGTCCACTTTTTCAGAATGAAGCACTGAATGTTACAGTAATTCATGCACAGTGCAAGAATAGACACACAAGGGAGCATATGTGTTATATATGTCTCTGGGGTATGTATGACTGTTTTGCAAATAATCATGTCACATAATTAATATTAATGAGTCACGCTGATAATGCATTTTATTATGTGCCCCCCTCTCCTGCATTTTGGCCCAAATCATTTATAAATGGGGAAAAAAAGCTGTTTTGTTTAGTAAGACAAATTAGCCACATTTACGGTGAGGTAGACTAAAGTTTGTTTATGAATATGAATATTCGATAGTTTTATAATTGAATTATAAGGTATATCATATTATAAAAGTATCATTGCAAGCATAATAGAACTTGATTTAAAATCAGATTTAGACAGGTTTAAACAGCATTCCTTTAATTATAAATATTTTTTTTCAAAATAAATATTAAATAATTATTTTAGAAATTAATAAATGCATACATGTATGAATAAAATAATATTCAGGTTTTTTTTCCAATTACATTTTGGAAAATTACATACATATTTAAGGTATCTGCCACTTTCATATTCAAATATATATATATATATA